CTCTCCGTGTCCTAGACACGATTACGTCCACTTTCCTCGGGATTACGATGCCTCGTCTTTGAACACCAGAGTTTTCGTGGCCCTCCCTTTGTCCGTTCCCGAAGGTCTCGCGAATTTTCGCGTCACAGAGAATTTTAGATGCCTCGAGAGACTTTCCGTTTGCACGTTTGCAGCGGAAAAGAGAGACCGTGTTGCTCGTCACGCCTGATGTTTCGGAATCGCGCGATAGGATAGTTGATCGAGGACGAAATTCCACGACGATCAAGAACGGGGGTGTAAGAACCTTTCGCAACTAGATTTCACCGTGTATTTCTCGATCTCGGTATCTTCGCACAGCTGACTTTTATCTTCTTTGTCCGTTACCGAAAGACAGCTAATTTTCGTTTCATCTTTGTTTATTGCTCCTCCGTTGCGTTGAAAATTCACTCTGGATCTCGTATCGAATATAAATACGAGTATTAAATACTCTCCCTATCCCCGAGGGAGAATTATAAAGAAGTCAGACATGCATAAACGATGTTCTCAAAGATCTAGCTAATTTCCTCCGCAAAAAGTTCTCATCCCGACGAATACGAAAGATATTAAATTTCTTTTCGACGTCCTCTCATCGTCCACACCCTGTGTGGCAAAAACCAACCCCGTTGTCAAACCTGTGTTTCCTCTAATTACCATTCGCGTTACGAGAACGCGGCGAAGAAAAAGAAGCGGAAGGCCGATAAAGGAGGAGCCGTTCCCTCCGTTTAACCAGATAAGCCGCAAAACGCCGAAGCAATTTCAGCCCGTCAGAGGATTCCTCCGCGATGACGATGGAAAGGGATCGACTCGCCGGAGGGAAGCGTAGAAAACGCTCGTTCCACGGCCTCCAAGGGTTAAATAGGGTTGTCCTTCGCGGGATGAATATTCTCTCCGCGACTGTCCCTGCCTCTGCAGCTCGGCTCGCTTCAACGTCGATGAGTGCGCAAAACCGACAAGTCGTTTCTTTAACGCACGCGAAAGAACTGGAAGGCCGAGGAGAAGCGAGAGAAGAGATGAGAGAAACAGATAAAGCTGGAGAAAGAGAGAGAGAGAGAGACGCTACGAGAACCGGCAGAAATACTTCATTACGATGAAAGCTTCGCTCCTACCTTCTCAAGTCTCCTCTTCCCCTATCCAACCCCTTTCCCGCCCTCTCTTTCTATCTTCAGCGACCATGTGTTTCACCGTCTCCCCGTTTTCGCGTTTGCACGTACCTACATCCACCACCTTTTCCTCTTTGTCCACTTTCCTTCGCCCTCCGTGCACCCTCCGTCTCCTACAGTTCCTCCTGCTCTTCGTCTTCGTTTCTACGCGCACCGGCACGTGAAAATGCGTTTCTCGCATTGTGCGTCTGCGTGGCGCGTTCTCCTGACGTTTCTCTTTCTCTCTTTTACTTTTCAGCAGCGACAATGCAGGTTGGGTATTTCAGGGACTGGCGGAAGAGAACAGGAAGCGAGAGGACACGAAGGGAATTACGACGATCGATGAAGGGGTGAGCGGACAGTCTTGGCTCGGTGATCGCCTCTGAGTAATTGAGTCGGACCTCGGATGGGACATTTGTGACCAGTGAATTATTCCCAACCGTCCTGCGGTGAGTGGCGGGAATTTCACTGGAATTCGTAGAATTCTCGCGAGCGGTTGTTTTCGTGCTCGCCATATATATATCGAGGATCAATTATTCGTGGAAATCAAATTAACATGTTTGGTGAAAGTAAAGCAACGACAGGTACGTGTCATAAACGGTATCGTAGAACCGCGATCTTGGGCAAAGGGGTAATTTGTAGAAATGAAAGTTAAATATTCGATCTCCAATTACGATCGCAACGATAAAGTAATTAGAGCGACGCGTGATGCTTCGTAGCCTTAAGAAATATTAAATTATCAGGCACACTAATAATTCGTTATATACGCGAATGTCACTGTTCTAAAATGTACCGAGTGTGCGTCCAGCCGACGTAATTGCCTGTACAAGAGGAAAATGGAAGGAAAAGCAACGGTAGACCTTAATTTCCATTTTAATTTCCTCCGCGCCATATCGTTTGGCTAAACAGAACTCGAAACCCTTCGGAAACTTCCCATCGTCGTTCACCGACCGGTCTAATCGATCCTCATTCAATTAACATCCACCCTAACTCGTCTCGCAGGAAATACGACCGAAGAACCACCCCCTCCCATGCGTCTAACCTACTCAGACCGAGTGAAACCTTTCCATCGGGCGAAGAAAGTACGTCGCGCAGACGGACAGAGCGAGAGGAAGAGGACGGAAAAGTTTGGGTGCGGGTTACAGGAACGTCCAATAACCAGATTAGCTTCTCCCGGCGGAGCGTGTGCTCGATACCGTGAGCTCGATCACGCTTCCGCCACAGTTTTGCGCCGGTTGGAGAATCGCGGAACGTGTCCGGTCGTACGGTTGGAAGATAAACGCGGACATTCGTCCGCTAATCGACGTCGTAAAACCGACGTTGCCTGTCGATGACGTTTCACCGAACGTCTACGAGCCGATGCGAGCGTAATTGCGCGTTCGTCGCGCGGAACGCGGGCGCGGGCGCGAGAAAACGCGACAGCTTGTTCGCCGCGTTCATCACGGACGTCGCTTTCCATCGATTCTTCGCGGAGACGCGGATGGCGCGTCGTTCCAGCACCGGGAATTTGATTAAACGCCTCTGCCTGGGTAATGCCGCTACTTCGGCATCGCGTGCACGGTGTTACGCTCGTGATTAATCGACATTTCGGTTTTTCCTCGCCTTTTGCCCGCTTTTATCCTCCATTTGCATAATTTGCGAAGGGATGTAATTACCGGTGAAGATAAACAGATTATTTCTGTTTATTGCTCGCGAATGTTATTAAGTTACACGGAATTTGTCTGGAATTGCTTTGCCAATTTTTGCACGCTTGTATCAGCCATACGAACGTTATACTTGTTCCGCGATAAGAGAATCTGTGACTTCCTGGCAGAAATTGAACAAATGTCTTTGAAAAATGTTTGATCTTTAATTATTTATTCGGAGTTATCGTAAGGATCTGTCTACCAGGGAAATTTATATCTCTCTCGGACGATTATCTCGCGTTCCACTGATCGTGCTCGTATAACAGGGTTTGTTCGCGAGTAACGAGACGGTTACTTGGCGTCCGATAAGAAAATTCGCGATAAGCCGAGGCGACGATAAAATTTCATACAGAGTCTCGCGTGGTGCAAGAAATCCACCCTTTTTTCCTCTCGAATCGAAATTTCCATTTAGAGGCTATTTCGAGGCGGCGGACGAGCGCGCGCGTTTGCTCAGGCTTGGCAAACACCATCAACTTTTAGTTGGTTAACTGTTCAGTTGGTTCGAGAATGGAGAGAACGAGAGAGACAGAGTGCGTGAAACCGCGCGCGCATTCAACTAGTTAGTTGGGCAACTAAAAAGTTTACACTCCGTTGCAAGCCACGGCCAACTAAACGGTTGGTCAACTGCGGTGCAGCTTTCGCGTTCGAACGCGCTTATGTTACCGTGTAAATAACTGACCACTTCGCGTGTCTACCCGTTGCATCCCTTATTTTTCGCTTTGCGCCGCGCCTATCCATTTATTCCACTGCCGCGAAGAATAAGATGGCGATCGAAGGGAAAAATCGGACGGAAATTGAAATACTTTCGTAACGCGAGTAAAATTATCGTCCTGTAATTATCAGACAATTTTCGCACCTACGAGAGATCGCATCTTTGATCGACCATTATCAGCCGTGACAGATATCGACGCAAAACCAATCACGCGCGTGTCGTTATCATCCGTAAGCCTGTAAACGCGAGAAAGTCGAAGATTCGGGGGCGAAGCAACCCCGTAGCCTCGCGATCAGAGTGCCCTGGTCCGACAATGCAGCCCTCGAAGTGGCGCAGTTCGCGTGCACGAGGAAGGAGAGCGACAAGACGCAGGGTCGTGGAAACGGGCGCGGGAGGGTGCGGAGGGGTGGTTGGTTGCAGGATGAAATTTGCAAATGCTCCGACAAGCCAGCACGAGAGCCGCGGGGGTGAGCGCGAGGGGAGAGGGTTGTATATCAAGCAGAAATGCGCGCGGTGCCAGGGATATGGCGGTAAAAGAGCGACGAAAAAGTGTCGCTTCGACAAAGGGTGCAAGCTGGAGAAGAGAAAAGGGGGTGGCGGCGCGGGAGAGGCGGCGGTGGTGGAAGAGGTACGCGGAGGGGGTGGAATCGCGCGGCAGAGGGAGGTGGTTCGAGCGTGCGCGCATCATTTTTGCCGAGGAGTAGGCACTTCCCTTATTCGTCGTCGCCGACGGGGGAACCGGAGAGAGAAACGGGGGTAGAAGATCCGAGGCGAGGAAGAAAATGACGGATAAAGAAGCTTCGAGGGGTGGCTGCGGGAACGGGCTTTGTCGATTCCCGGGTATTTAACGGAAATACCAACCGGAATACCTTCGTCCCCGTTCGTCTTTATCTCCTTTTCTTTTCCCTCGCGGCTACACCGCCCCCCGTCACTGTCCTCGTCCTTCTTCTTCTCCTTCTCTTCCTCTTCCACCCTGTACCACGAGCAACGAATAATTCGAGCGTGTGTCGAGACTCGCCGAACCGACCGCGATCAAGCGATTTTGAAAGGGATGAATACCCGAGGAGATGCCGTCCTCGCGGCCCGCTGCTCGCAGAGAACCGACGTATGCGTGTTCCGGGCGAATTGTGCAAAGTTTGATCGTTCGCGGACCGATTATACGGTACTAGCAGTCAGCTGTTTGCTCGTCTGTTTCGACTTTTCCTTTTCCACCGTTAGTTCTTCGTTGAAAGAGTTTCTTTCCTTCGGACGGCTTTTTGCACGGTTGCGAGTTCAGTTTCGCTAATTGCATTCGCGAGGCACAGAAAGCAAACGGTTCGCGTGTGTGTGGCTGTCGCTTTTCGAGTAACGAGGATCGCGACACACATTTCTCTCCTCGAATCGGTTTTTCCGATACTTTTATTTCCTATTATCTATATAGCAAAACTATTCGGAAAAATGACTCACCGAGCCTCTTGGAGATCTCCGAGTTGTGCATCTTCGGGTTCTCCTGCGCGATCTTCCGCCGTTGCAGCCGGGACCAGACCATGAACGCGTTCATCGGCCTCTTGATGTGCTCCACCTGCGCCTTCTTCGTGGTCGGGCCGAGAGGGCTGCCGAGGCCAACCCCCATGGGGCCGACCCCCGCACCACCGGGAGGCGACGTGCCCGACATGCCCTGCATACCGCGCAGGGTCTCCGTGAACGAGCCGTCGCACATGTTGCCGCCGGCTCTGTAATTAAACGCAGCCACCAATTAGTAAGCTCAGCGGCCACGTTAATGGAGGGACACGCCCACGTGAAAACAGCCGCGACGACCGACAGTCCGACTGACCGGCCAGACCCTCCAGGAACTCCTGGATGTTCCTGCACCCTAGCCTGTAGGAACACCGCACGAGATCCTATTGTCTCCAGAGGCTCGCTCGTACTCCGTCGGAGACGAACCTCGTCCACTTTGCCTTGATTTACGATCTTCGCGACGTTATTTCGGTTATTTAGTCCCCGACTGGGTAGTTTAGGGTGCAAGCTGCTCGCTGGAAAGTCGCTTCGCGGAGATGTCGCGTTTCAGAGGGGGTAGTTTGTCGGAGAGGGTGACGAGGTTACTCGGATTTTGGTTTGCAGGGCAAATTCACGGATTTTTAGCGTAGCGAAGGGTAGTTCGCAGGGGTTTGAAGAGGCGAAGTTGCTCTTTCGAATATCTGGGGAAATTCGAGCGTAACTCTTGGTGGTTACAAAGTTTCAGACGAGGTTACCAGGCATTTGGTATACGAGGAATAAATTCACGATGTTTTCGGAAGAATAGAATAATCGATTCGAAATTGTCGAATCGCTTCGTTCGAGAGAGGAGGAGTAGAGAGGAGAGGGGAGCAGAGGATATTCTTTGGGCGAATTCGAATATGACTTTTGAACGCTACGAAGTTGGCGAAACGATGTTTGAATAATGTCTCGCGTGACGTGCACTGTAATTTTAGACGATGAACATATCAATCTTCCGTGATGCAATTTAGTACCCTGTTTTTATTTTTTGTGCGGTTGAACATGAATTTTGAATTGTGCGAGCTATCAGCGAAATTAGTACCGTCACGAGAGTAGCAAACAATCATTCAAATGACTCACTGGCAATTTTCTTTTTGCTCGCCACTAAGGAGCCGCGAATCCTAACGTCGCGGCCTGTCAGAAGGAGATTAAAATCATTAAGAAAGTGCTGAATAACCTTCCAAATTGACAGACTCGTTACATCAATCATCGTTTCATTCATCCGGACGCAACAAGTTACTTGACCAAACTCGCAAACATCCACCTTTCACGACCAGTCGCGAAACAAAAATGCAAGGAAGCGGCACGCACGCAAAGCGGCGATGAAATTCCTGCGTGAAACGGATTCGAGGTGGACGAAAATAACGAACGAGGCTAATAAACCATTCGGAGAATTAGACCAACAACGGGAATCAACCTTATCGACCGCAAACATTCCGCGCATTCGATATGAAAATCGTTGCACCACACGCGTGGCCGATCGAAGCGAAAGGTTGATGACACCTATAATTAGCCGGACAACGCTCTCGAAAATCCTTCGCCTGTAAATCGCGTGAAAAGGGAATTTCCACCGGTCACCGGTATAATAACTCGCGGCAGTAAATCCACGTATACACGCACATGCAGGCACGCAGGCACGCGCGCGCATTCCAATGGTGTTGGTGGCTTTTAATTGTGCGCCAGCGACACGCAGAAGAACCGAGCGAGGGCACTCGTGCAGCCACTCCTCACGGTCCCGGTAATTGCTTATTCGTTTGCTCTTTGATTCATAAGCAAATTAATCTTATCCTTTTCTCGTATCAAAGCCATTAACCAATCTCGCCGCGTTGCTGCCTCTCCTCTCTCCGTCTTTTTACCCTAAATGTCACCCTTCGCTTAGGGTGTTCTCCCTCCTCCTCTCTCTTTCTCGCCGTTCCTTCCGCGACCCCGGGAATGAAATCTCTCTCTCTCTCTCTCACTCTACTTCCCTCGGTTTCTCCTCTCGAACTAACACAATTACGCGGATCTCCTTGAGCATTCATTAAGAAAAAAAAACCTGTAGTGGTTGAGGGAGTTAACCCCGGGGGCGGTAGTTACGATTTTGTAGGGTTAGAATCACCCTCGGGCCGGGACCACCCTCGAGTGTCATTCAGGCCGGATTAATAGATACGTTGGTTAGAGAGACGTTCGGGGCGGGAGAGGGTGCAACGGAGCAGCGTGGCTGCTCTAGAGAGGCCCCAAGGGTGCTCGGGGGTGGTTCACCGGAGAGAGAGAAGATGCTGGAAGTAATGGCTGTTGACAAGCTGCGACGGGGGATTAGGAAGTGCTAATTGAATGTTTAGGCAACGGCTGATGACGCTGTGCACGCGGTAATTTATTGCTCGAGCCCAGTCGCCGATCTCTGACCACCAAGACGCAAGCATTGGATGCTCAGAGTCACTCGAGGAACGACTGCCGTAGAGGTCGGGAAAATAACCGAACCGCGAAGATCGTTGGGCTGGTAGAAAAGTTGGTTTTCAAAGTATTTTTCGACGAAACAGTCGCGACGAGTTTGGTAGATATTTGTATACGTGGATCGGAGAACTCGAGGAAACATACACCATCTCCCTGGTACGACTGGAAAACAGAGGTCTCTTCGACTTTGTTTCAGATACTCTCGGATTAATTGCCTTGCCGTCGGTGTTGATAAACAGTCATTTAATCGGGCCTAAATCCTCGAAAGTGGTGTTGGATTATCGATACTTTGTACAACAACGTGATAATGAAACGGTAATATATTCTAACCGAGATAATACAGGATTCTTTTCGTGATCGTTGAATCGAAGCAGTAACACGGATCTATTATCGCAATCTCGTTCGATAACTATCCAAGCGACACGTTGCAGATTATGTAAATCAGAGTCGAAAACTACGCGTACTTTGTCACGAGCGAGTTAATTAATTCGTCGACATAAAACGAGTCATATAAGACGCTCGTTTCTTTTGCTTAACAAACTTCTCTTTACCGGAGTCCTCGAGAATTCGCAAACTCCTCGAGTCAACTGAATTTCGGTTTAACTCGACATCATCATCGTCAACGTGTCGCGAGTTTTACGTTGAAACCCGATCGCAAAGTATCCTCGCTCTCTCGCAAATCGCATCAACGACGTGTTTACGAAGGGACTCACCTCATGAAGTGGCCGGCGGCCCGTTGGTGCAAGTCCAGCTCAATTTTGCTGCCGTGGTTGAGACTCTCGTCTCTCCTGGTGCCCAAGGATACTGAACTGTGACGCGCGAGGCGAACGGAAACCAACAACAACAAGCAGCAAGTCACTACACTGTCATATCAGGCCATCCACTCGAGTCCCGAGATCACTGTGCTGCACGCTAACACTTTCTCCTCGTTTACCGATCAGATATTCGCTTCGCGACACTGGACACGGCCCAACGGCGACATCCTTCGCGACCAAGGAAGCGAAACAACGTGGACAAGCCAGCAGCCGGGGCTAAACGCTCGGAAGATGAAAACCGTGAGAGGCGGCTGTCGCGTTCGGAAGCGACGCACGAGGACGAGCACGGCGTGCACGACGTTCAATCTGCCTCCGCGGACGATAGTTTTGGGAGTGTGCACGCACGACGCGACGCCTGCCGCCGATCCACGGACTCCGCGCGCCAGCCTACCCCCACCACCGAGGTCCAAACGAGAAAACATCGGCTCGGCGAATCGCGCGGCGCCGTGGGCGTGGCCGACGGGCCGACCGCGGTATCGCTGAGCATCGAGATTGGTCGGCGACTCGAGGCCGTCGATAACGAACCGTCCTGCGTTCATCGGTCCTCCCTTCCATCAACCGCTTCGCGTTCCTCTTCTGTCGCTTCAATTTTCTCTCCTCGTTCGCCTCCGCCACTCACCCTCCCGCGTTCGTCTTCTTTCGTCTTTCTTTCCACCAACTCGCAACCGCCACGCGAAATTTCTTCTGGAGACCGATCATGGTCACCGGGCTGTCCTGTTCCGAAAAAATTTACCAACTACCATAGGGGTGAATGTTTTCTTTTTCTTCTTCTCTCGTTCGGCTTCGGTCAGTCGAATTTTCTTGCTGGGCTCAGTCGTCACAGGGATATTCCGGGTATTCGGATACCTCTCTTTTCAAACTCGTCTGTCCGAGTTTATTTCCAGGAATCTACGTTTAACGCCAAACGTCTTCGGAGCTGCGAAGTTGGCTTGGGACTAACCGAGTTATCTCGAAAGGAGAGTTTCGCGAAGATAATTTTTGGTCCCTGGTGACAACGGAGTCTGGCCTGTTTACGTCCGCGTAATACACCGGCGCGTGGCGCGGCATCGCGAGGGGTGGGTCAAACCCTCGGAAGGAAGAGGGACGGAGAGCTGCCGATGAGGCCGAAGCGCGGAGCGGAAAAGAGAGGAGCAATCGGGGGTGTGCGAGTTAGAGCGTGGAGCCAGGTAGAGCAGCCACCGCCACCATCTCCGCGAGCACGGACCACGGGTACCAACCGATCCAGCCCATGCGTGGTGGGGACATGGTGGAAGAAGGTGGGTCGCCCGGAGATGGTGGCCGTTGGTATCGCCGAGTCGAATTCGAAAGAACGCTGCTGAGAATGGAAATAAGAAGGTGACTTCTCTCTTCGATACCACTCACCGTTTGCCCCCCTCCCCCCACCTCTGCTGGCAACACCAGTCCCACCACCCCCTCGGTTGGCCCGGCAGACCTCGCTACCAGCGCGGCCCAGTCTCTCTTTCCTCCACGGGCTGTGTTTCTCTCGCTTCCAGCCGAGTGGAGGACATTGTGCTTCGATCTACGAGGCGGCCCGCTCTCCTACAAAATGGTAGCTCGCGGCGTTTTGCTCTTTTAAGCGGCCGGATAGCGGGGGGTTTCCACGTACTGCACCCCCGGTGCGCGCGGGGACAATGTCGATAGGTGAGCCACGAGACGTGGCAGTTCGCGAAAACTGCAAGGTCTGGCACGTGTAACGGAGAATAGCTTCGTGATTTCGCCTGGATAGCATTGGGGTGGTTATTCTAAATGTCTGCGGTTTCGTTCGAATAAACGATATTATTAATCCCTCGTAGTACTAAAAGCTTTGTCGTAAAATCGGTGAGCTTGTCTGCGATAAGATAAAGAGGAAATCGTATGTGTAATTATTTTATTTCGAATTTGGTGGTCGACCATCGACCATAGTGTATATTTTTTCGAATCGACGACCTAGAGTCTAGAGGCAGGGTGCAAAGTCACTCACGCGGAGATTCTGCTTCTCGCGTTTAACTCGTGATATTTTCCACGAGTTTCGCGCGTTTATAGAACAAGGGGTTAATAACGTTTGACCCGTGCTCGATTTTCCCGCGAGCGTTATTTACGCGGACATGGAGAGCGCGGAATGTACCGATGTTTCGGATAAAGCCGTTGAATTGGAGAACCTTGAACGAGGTTCGCAACGGAGTAACGAGTGGCCAGATCGACGGAGTGACAGGCGGGCACAATCAAGCGATTTCATCGTTTCCACGTAGCGGTGAAAAGGTTCCTAACTGACGGCGCGAAGTGGCGTCGATTACAAAAGAATTTATAGACCGTCCGTTTTCTCTATAGACACTCGATTCCACCCTCTCTCGCGTGCATCGATCGCCTCTTGTTTATTCCCAAGTGGCGGCAAGGGTGAGAGGCGACGAACAGGGGGACCAGCGCGTTTCGGCACCCCTCTGCCGCTAATCTCATAATTTCATCGACACTGGTCATTTTCTGTGCGATCGACACCGCTGCACCCGATGATCCGAACGATCTCGTAAACAGAATTATTTGATCCGCGATGAGTTCATCGCGGATTGCGCCGCATTAAGCACGACGAGTCGCGTGACTCGGCCAATGAACGTTTTGTCGATGCAACAGCGTGCTCGTTCCGCTCTTTTCGCGTATAAAAACATAATTTGCCCGTAATTTCCGTGGAAAATTGTTGGCCGCCGCTGTTAGAAACAACATTAGCGACGGCCATTGATTTACCGACGCGCGGATATAATTGCGTCCGCGTGGACCAGCGAATTTCGACGTCCTCCTTCTTTTTCTAGGCACAGTCCGTCCAGTCACGTTGCGAAACATTGCGCGACTCACTCGTTAAATTTCTCGAAAGATTAAACTTCTTGTTATAGAACCAGTTACTTTACTCTCGAAAGCATCTCGGATTTACGCGTCAACTTTTCTTGCCCGAAGACGTCAAATCTCCGACTAAGATAACACTTCGTATTCCGATCAAAGATAGAGCAAGATCTGTAAACTATTATTTAATTTGCTCGAACAGAAAGAGTTCTTCGGCCATGTTCCTCTCCCGTGAAATGCACGACGTTTGACGAACGTCGACTATCGTGATTTCGGAACAAATCCAAAAATTCTAGTGTCCACTCGAATCAGGGAAATCATTAGGATCAAGAGACTCGTGAGTCGCGCACTGTTTATCACGAGGAAGATTTATTTCCCCTCTGCGGCGTAGCACGTGCTGGCTCCCCGTGCACGGACAGGGTCGCGCCGATATTGTTGTACGCGTCGTGGAACATGTAACGTATGAATATCTAATGCACCCCATCCACAATTAAATTCGGACAATATGTTTTGTTTCGGGAGGGGCCACCACCCTCGAAGAACGGAGGGGTCTCGCCTGTGAATCAGGGACCTTTCCCTTCGGGATCCTCCATCGTTGAATAACGCCCCAAGTGTAAATCTCACGCTGTACACGCCGATACGACGAGAGGCGATAATAACTTTCGGGCAAATCGCGCCAGACCGCAGCCTCTCCAAATTGTCCGCGTCGCCATTGAAATTCAACGTGTCAACGAGTCATCGTCGGTGATTACCGAAGTGGACGAGTTTTATTAATAAGTCTCGAATTACGGGACCAACGTACGCAATTTTCCGTGGCAAAGTGAATTCTTGTTTCACGAACGAGGAATATTAAGGCTCATCGTTCTCGCCATCGCAAGATCGACGTAACGGTTTAGCGAGCGTACGCGAAACTGCAATATCCACGATATCTTCGTTTACCAGAGGATTCAAAAACGTTATCGACTCCGCGTAAAAATTTGCAAATGGATAAACGTCGAACGAAATGAAGTTATTAGATCCCGGGGAACCGTTAGACGTACGTTTCGCGATACAAAGTACAGGAAGTTGCACTGAAAGCAAAACCTGTTACCGATCGTAACTTGTCCAGACAACCTGACCTAACGTATCAATTATCCGGCATTGCTAACCTCGATATCGAGAAGGTCCGACGTCGATTTGCTTTCGAAACTACATCCGAAAGTCACTGCTGCGAGAGGATCATAATTCAACGGCCCTGTTCGTCCGAGGAAACTTTCCCTCCGCCCGATAGCACCAGGCCGGGCAACTATTTATTAAAAACAGAGACAAAAACAGGGGAACAATGCATCCCCGAGTATCCTCCTTATTCCTCGTGACAATGAGCCACCAGTCAAAAGTGCCTCGAACACCTCCTGGCCACCAGTCGTCCAGGTCGAGGATCATCGAGCGTTTCTCTCCTAACTCCCATACCATCACCTGTCGGAGCGACCAGGTCCGCTGGAAGGTGGGAACAACCGTGTCATCCCGTCGCATTGTCTCGAACGGATCCCGCAGTTTTGTGGTGATGAGTCGGACCGTAAACGAGAGCCTGCTGCGGGACAAAAGACGGCCACCAGTGCTTGCAGCGGGCAGAGTCTGATCTCTTTAAACGAGCCAGCCACGGGAGAGGAGGCGACGTTTAACGAAAATGGGCGAAATTTTATTGCGGATCTGTCGGAGAGCGATTTAAGAAGGCGAGACGATCGAGGGGTGCCAACAGGAAGGAACCACCCGCGGGACGAGACTCCACCTTCAGTTTCTCGCAGCTGATCTCCATGGAATCGTCGATGGTACTCGTCCGTGCGGCCTTGCCTTTCACGGCATTGTCTTTCTCCTTTGCGGAGGAGCAGGTGTCGCGAGAGATAAGCACAATGGCGACAATAGACGACCACCGGTAAAACTTAGCTCGTCCAAAAGGCCACGGGGATTGTCGTCGCGCAGCGGGCCGTCCTTTTTGCCGTATTGCCGGCCGGTGGCTTGTTTGTTTCCTCCTTTTGCTGGTCCCCGAGCGAATAACTCGGCAGTAACAATTTAATAAAAATGAGCGGCTTCGATGCTTCCCGAGACACGACAGGTCTCGCCGGTAGAGACTGATGCGGTCGAACTCGGAGG